ACTTCAAGTACCGGTCTTCCACCCGCTTTCAGAAGCTCCGCTGTAATTCCATCCTCGCCTGGGGCCTTACCGTTTTTAAGGTGCTGGAGAGCCATCCTAATCTCGCTCAGACTGACATCCGGGATATCTTCGGAATAGTGTCGGATGAGACTCGCTCTTGGATCGTTACTCACACTTGCGTGTGGCTCCAACGATGATGTGTACAGCTGCCCATAGAACCTCTCAATCTCACTCAAAATCTCAGGTGTCCCGGAAACGATGCTGCCACACTCTGTCTTCAGCTTTGACAGTTGGCTCTTTCTGGCAGACAGATCTCTGGCAAAGACTTTGGAGCCTTGGTTCCGCTCGATCGCTTCTTCAATACGACCTGTATTGAAGTTGCGTAAGTCCCGCCGCGTGCATTTGGAGATCTGTCTGTTCAGATGCCTGTATGCTGTCAAGTATGTTGAAGAATGTAGCTTCATCTCCCGTCTAACAGCCATGAGATTAAGAGTGTGATCGGAGAGTTTTTGTGTTCTTCTGCGGCGGGTCTTGCAGAACTTAGCTCCGACCGCATGGACAGTTTCCACGAGCTTGTCATTCATATCGTCCACTTCATTGCAGTCTTCTAGGCACTGAAAACGGTTTTGTAACTCGAGCTGAAAGGTTTCGGGACTTTGGATTAGAGCACGAGGGGGACGGAGCGTTGACTTCATTAGACGAGACCTCTCCAACTTAACGTTTAGGTTCAGTGTGCCTCTAACCATTCGGTGATCGCTGCCGGTTTTCACCCTCGCGATCACTGAGACATCACTGAACAGTTGTCGTCTGGTCGTCATAATGAAGTCAATCTCATTTTTTGTCAGACCGTCGGGGCTCGACCAGGTCCACTTCCTGTGGGGCCGCTTCTGGAAGAAAGAGTTCATCATAAAGAGTCCCTCTTTCTCCATGAAGTCGGCCAGCTGCTGGCCCCTTGGGTTCCGTTGCCCTATTCCAAATTTCCCTACTTTCAGCTCACCGTTCTCTCTTGTGCCTAGTTTTGCATTGAAGTCTCCCATTAACACCGTATATTGGGTTTTGGAGGAATGCATGGCTCTAGAGATATCCTCATACATTTCCTCCACCTCCTCATCGGGGTGTGCCGAGGTTGGTGCGTAAACCTGTATGACCTTCAGCGAATACCGTTTGGTGATTCTGAGTATAAGGTACGCAACCCTCGTCGACACACTCCCGATTTTTACAACGTTGTTAACGAGAGACTTGTGGACGATAAATCCGACACCTCCTTGGGACAGATGGTCGCCCTCCCGGTGATAGAGCAAGTTGCCGGATTCGAGGATTACCGTGTCCTCCCCCTCTCTTCGGACTTCGGATAATCCTATAATATGCCAGCGCAACTTGTCTATCTCTTCTTCCAGCTCCACGATCTTCTCGTCAGTCCTCAGGGTGCGTGCGTTGTACGTTGCCAGGTCGAGTCGTCTAAGGTGGCAACCGAACCTCCACCGGAGATTCTTAGCACCCCCTGCCCCGCCGTTACCATGGTCGCCACCGTAGCCAGGAATAGCGGGGCCGCCGGGGACTGGGGGCCGTTTTTTTGTTGCTCTCATCATTGGGGGGTATTTGCCATAGTTGCCACGCTTGGCGAGCGGGTTGGCAACCGCAGTTTTTTTATTGTAATTTGGCTATTATCAGGAAGATGCTGCTGCCCATCTCCTGGCTGTTTCCCTTTGTCGCCTTTTACGACACCCACGGGAGGATATGGGGTAGTGGATATTCTTGACCGCCACTACACGGCACAAGTATGACTATAAGAATTATAAAAAAGAAAGATTATAAAAATAATCACAGTGAACGTTTCATGAGAGCAGTGCCAATGGAATATACATAAACATTTTACCAAGCAAACACTATTATTATTTTATAAATATACATTAGGAATTGATAAAACTCTAAATAAGTTAAAACATACAGAAATCATTCTATTTGATTAAACTATGTTTGAATCAGTGAGGGTGTTTTGGAAAAGTCAAAGATTGCCGGTTCGACGCTTCTCAAATCGGGTTATATAAGGGATACGGTGTCTGTTGAAGAGAGGATTTACAAAATAGGCTTTTAATAAATCTCTCTCTACGGGCATGAAATAGCCTGATAAAGTTACGTTTGGTGTAAACAGACTCTTTATTCAAATCGGCTGAGTGTTTGATTACACTATACTATAATGACTTCATGATACAGTCAGGTCATTCTGCGTAGATCGCACTTAAGTTGATAATAAATGCTGCAGGTAGTCCTGATTCACGATGACAACATGACGTGAAACACCTTAGGCTTCCAGCAAACGAAACATTGGGGGTAAAATATAACTTAAAATAACGCGATAACGTCTGTAAAATTTTTTTTGATTTCATTACACTTTTCTACTATAAATAGTTAAATATCATTTACCTCAACAGTTAATATGGCTTTCGCGTCGTAATATAATAGAAGAATCTAATAATAAGATTTCCAATACGACTTTGAGCACAAAAGATTAGTGTTTGGAAGATAAGAATAGATAAAAAACTATGTGCACATAATACGGTTGCATTATTAGCACATATTAGGTAGGTATAATGTCTGAAAATCTTGGCTTCTCGTAGGTCCTATAAAAATGAATGCGCTCGTTCTTAAGCCATCACGGCTTTGTATGGGTTTGAGGGCATTGATATGAAATATCATTTCACTGTACTAGATCATCGCACGATTCGGAATCGTTTTGCGAGAAGAAAACGAGTTATTGGAAAGCCATTTAGCACAATAGGTCTCTCCGACATGTTCAAATTAAACACATCATTCACGTTTTGGTGCAAATAATGTCGAGCTCGCGTGTTTGTTGATTGACAGTGGTGGAATGAATTGTGTGAAATTAAATTTGATAAACAAGCTTTTGAATTATATTCGTGTTTTTGAATAGACTTAATAATTTAAATATGATTTCCAAGCATAAAGTGTCAAACAAGTTTAATTTTTAATTTCGTTCCAATATATATATATTCTTAGAAAGAAATAAAACACCACAATGTTATGGTAATGGTATGCTAAATTGAAATTTGCAACCAACTTCAAATAAAGAAATGAAAAAGGCAGATGTGTTGTTACATTTTTTTATAGGATAATGGTTACAAGTGAGCACACAATCCACCTGATACATTTACATCTATCCTCCTTTGCGAATCAAAATGCAGATGCGTAGTCAACCGTGAGGAATAAGATAGAATGCCTCTTTTTCAGCAAAAATAAGGGTCTCCGGTTCTCTACCTCATAATACGAAACACAGCATCATTAAGCTGCTATTTAACGCTGCTATTCTGTGAAAGCGTGGTTGTACCCCGGTCGAGCCGACCCATTCGTGCTACAACTATACAATTAATATAGCTGCAGCATGGCTCTACCACGTATAAATACATACACATGAAGACTAAGATGTAACTCCTTACATACGTTTTTGCTTAGCGAAAGAAATGAGTAGGAGGGTGAGGGTTACCTAGTTAGACGAATTCTTAGGCAGAGAAGGGAATTTACCACTTAGTGTTAATTGAATCTTACACTATGTTTATGCAAATTAAGAACATTCATACACATTCTTAAAAATAGGATAGACTTTGCGCCGACTCAAGTTAATCCATATTTTTGATTAGCGTAGTAGATGAGATATCATTACTCATAGGGTGATGGAGCCATTACTATACCGTGTAGCTCCTATGAATGTTTACGGACTTTACACATCCTTGAAATATATTTAACAATTTTTTCTTCACCGTCGAGCACGTAGTAAAACAATACTTTAAATTGCAAATAACAATTTCATTATTTGTGCTAGCGGGGAGCGCGTCAATGTTGCTCATGTACTGTGAAATTTGCTGCGAGTGCTTACGAGTGGCTCTGAACTATCACTTCTATATTAAATGTTAAATACTTATAAAGAAAAAATAAATGTATCGGACATATAATGGAAGAGCGTGAAAGACTTTAGTTACATTACTGTCCCAAAAACCTTAAAAGAAAGTTGGGTAACAACTCAACTTTCACCTATTTATCATAATTTTATAAAAGACAAAAATAATTAGGTTTTTCTAAGCAAGAAAATGTCTATCATACAAAGCGATCGTTTTGTTTTTCTACATATTATCCTCTTTTTGTTCCTAATCATGTTCGCACATGTCATTAAGCAAATAAAACACGAAAGTCAGCGAATCGACAACTTACGAGGTGTTCCCAACGCGATATAACGCAAGATAGGGAAAGGCGCCCTCCCATTCCGGGCCATATACGGGCTATTCATTGCGTAGGGTAACAAAATTTTATTTCAAGTTAAATTGTATTCGGAACTGTGCCACTTCTTATTTATTGGGGTTGAGTATAGACGCACGAGGCGCATATACAGCGCGTGTATAGCACGCCGACTTAATAACAATATCAATGGGTTCTTTGTAACCGTCTATGCCAATTTTGCAATCTATTTCGTGAGCTCCGTTGTTGCGGAGGCGAATTTTAAGTGTAGTCGTATGCGCAAGTAGCAACTTAAATATTTATTCTTTATTCTTTATTCTTTATTGTACACACTAAGTTGGTAACAATTATTAAATATTCACATAAAATGTACAAAGGCGAGCTTAACCCTAGTAAGAGTTTTCTTCCAGCAAACCTATTGGGAAAGCGAAATAGTTTTACATATAAAGCAAGTAGGTAGCAGCGTGCGTACTTAATATTTAACTTAACACTACTTAATAGAAATTGCCTAAAGTTACAGTTGACAATTAACATATAAGTGTATAAAATATAAGTATAATTTATTTTCTTATTTCTATTGATTTACATACATATATACTAATAAAGATAATAAACACATACACATATACACATACACACACATACATATATATATACACATACATACACATATACATACATGTACACAAATATAAATACATATATATACAATTATACATATAAATACATAACATATATAAATATTTGTAATTCTAAGTTGATAGATAATATTTCTTTACTCTGCTCCGAAATGTATCAAGAGAAGAGCTAGCACGTATGTCATGTGGAAGTGAGTTCCATAGCTTGACCGCCCTTACAGTAAAGGATCCACCACATCGGCTTGTGAAATGAGAAGGAGTTCTGAGAAGCAGCTGTTTAGTGGTCCGGCACTGAGTTTCACGAGGTACAAGATACTCAAAACGCTCGCGGAGATATGGAGGTGCAAGAGGATTAAAGAGTAGAAAGTAAAGAAATGATAACACATGTAAGTCTCGACGTCTACGGATAGGAAGCCATTTTAATTGAGCCCTGTACTCAGAAACATGATCAAACTTACGAAGACCAAAAATAAAACGTATACACAAATTTTGAACACGTTCCAGTTTGTTCAACAGCTCCTCTGAAGCATCCAAAAAACTAACATCAGCGTAGTCAATGAGAGGAAGAAGAAGTGCTTGAGCTAAGGTTATCTTAGTTTTTACCGGTAAAAACATCTGGAGGCGCTTGAGAGATTGAAAAGAATAGTTCACTTTTCTGCTAATCATATTAATATGAGCAACCCAAGACAAATTATTATCAAAAATAACACCTAAGTTCTTAGCAGTCTCTGTATATAGAATTTGAGTATTATCATACGTTACTGCAGGGATCTTCGAACGATCTAATAAATTAAGCATATATGAGCTGCCGATAATCATTACTTGGGATTTAGCAGGATTAACAAGAAGACCAAACGATTTCGCCCAACTGCTTATGCTACTTAAGTCAGCATTCAGCTTATTAATAGCCTCATCTATATCTTGGACTTTGAAATGACGGTATAATTGCAAGTCGTCAGCATAGAGATGATAATGAGAGGTGAGAACAGTAGTGAGAGCGTTGATAAAAATAGAGAAGAGAAGTGGGGAAAGAACACCACCCTGAGGAACACCCGCCGTAAGATCACACCACTCGGAGAAATCCTCCTCATGGCGTACACACTGCGAGCGACCCCTAAGGTAAGAATTAAACCAAGAGATTACTGATGGTGAAATGTTTAAGGACGAAAGAATACCAAGAAGTATGTCATAATCAACGGAATTAAATGCACTGCTGAAGTCCAATAATGTTAGAACAGTGAGAAATTTTTTGTCCATGGCCCAGCGAATGTCATCAGACACTTTAATCAGAGCGCTGACTGTGCTATGGCCTGGACGAAAACCAGATTGAAAAGGGCACAGCAGGCTGTGAACAGTTAGGAAATGAGATAGTTGCCTCTGAACTATATTTTCTAGTACTTTAGATAAGATCGGAAGAATAGAAATAGGGCGAAATTGGGATAAAGATGTAGGATTAGAAGTTTTTGGAAGGGGAATGATGAATGCCTTTTTCCAGCAAGTTGGAAAGGAGCTCGTCTCAAGCGACGTAGAGATAATGTGAGTAATAATAGGGACAAGTTCATTAGTGATAGGTTTAATCATTTGTATACAAAGATTGTCATAGCCAATAGCTTTAGTGGAAATAGATAAAAGGCATTTTTTTATTTCACCATCAGTAACTTTACTGAAATTAAAAGGAGAACACAGCGGCTTAGGAATATTGGAGAGAAGATTAAGTGTCACAGACTTAATAGAGTCATCAATAGAAATCGGAGGCTCAGAAAAGTGCCGGTTGAGTGCAGTCAAATCAAACGAGATATTAGGATCATTATATGATTTGCCTATACCCAGAGTTCTAAGAAATTTCCACATCTGAGCGGAATGAGAATTTTCAACCTCATCATAGATATGTCTCCTCTTAGCATCACGACACATCTTACTACAGCGATTACGTAGTTTTTTATAAGTGAATAAATTTTCATTAGTAGGGTGCTTCTTATATCGCCTCTTAGCTTTATCTCTTTTGGACATTATTGCTTTTATAGACTCTGAAAGCCAGGGGGCTGGAAAGTGTTTAACCCTGACTCGCTTAAGTGGTGCATGTGTATCGAAGAGTTTTAAAATGAGGTGATTAAAAGCATAAACCTTATCATTAACATTTTCGGAATTTAGAACAGGGGACCAGTCAATATTATTTACATCATCTCTCAAACGCTCCAGGTTAATTGATTTAAAGCTTCTTAGGAATAATAATTTCGATTTGCGCCTAGGACGTTGAATTTTATAGGAGAGGAAGATAAGATCGTGGTAAGAGAAAGACGCAGATAGTTGACCATGCGAAGCAACCCGGTCAGCATCAGATACAAGAATAAGGTCTAAAAGAGAAGGGCTACTATTAGGCGAATGGTGAGTAGCAGAAAGAGGAAGAATATGTAAATTAAAAGATGATACCAGGGAGAGCAATTTTTTGCTACGAAAATCATTCTTTAACAGGCATGTGTTAAAGTCACCTAAAATAATGGTATTATCATAAAGCGGAGTAAGATTCACAAGTTTTTCTTCCAGAGAAGAAAAATAATTTATATTGCGAGAGGGGGGATAATAGACCCCAAGCAAAGTCCTAGAATGATTAACAGTAATTTCAATAAATAAATGTTCAGCAAAATTTGAGTAAATATTGGGTGAATGATCAACTATTTTATAGGGAATGTCAGCTCTCAAATAGATTGCCACTCCACCATAACCTTTGCCGACCCTGTCATTGCGTATAAGTTGAAAACCAGGGAGACAATACTGTACCGACGGAAGTGCAGGTTTTAGAAAAGTTTCAGAAACAAGTATGGCATCAACATATTTAGAATCAAAGGTTGATAAAAGGTCAGCGTAATGAGCATGAATGCTTTGAGCGTTAATATGGACTATATTAAGATTTTTACTATAATTACAGAATACGGCTACTAGTTGATCATGTAAATGAGTGGAATCATCGCTTAAGGCGCTTTTATAGGTCTTATCGGAAGAACCAGAAGAAGAGCAAGAAAAGTAACTATCATCAAATTCCAAAATATCACACATGCTAATCAAAACTATAACAGAAACTAAGCTACAACAAAAACAATAAAGATTAAATATATACTTGTATAATGTATAATAAAATAAATATTATATAAGTCTGGATATAATACTTACAAAATAAATAATAATATGTTGTGAAATATTATGAAACAGTAATTAAATTAAAATTAAATTGCCAACAATTATGCACTTAACTAAACATTTCTTTCATACCTGCCGGCAGTGGCATCAGTAGAATTTTATAATTACATAACTTATTTAAGACTAATTAATATAATAAAAATATAGAAAAAGGACAGTCTTACCATCAATAATAAAACAGACAAATATTATTTATGGATCCTGTATTTCAATTATTTTTAAATCATTTTCAATTAAAAGTGACAAATGAGATATCAATCTTTAGTTTGATTAAAATTACGAATGTTATACAGGTTTATATTGCAATAACTGGTCAAATTTGCAGAGAAGGTTTAGAATAAGTAATATAGGCAAATTTTGAAGAAAAATTAATTAGACAAATCTCAAACATTCTTACCTTATGATAAACATTTTTATGTTTTATTATTTTAACTGATTTTACTGCACACATTCGAGTCGATCGGTAGGCAAAAACGTTGTTGCCTATATTATATCACATTCAAATAAAAGCAGAAGCCTTATTTACTCATATTCTCAAAAATCGCAATAACGGTATATCATTATTTAAATATTTGAACTTAAGTTTAAAGTAAAATTATTGCAATACATAACGCAGTGTTGGTACCGACTTTGTTATATGGCAGCGAAACCTGGGTATGCCAGAAGAAGCATAAAAGTAAGTTGAATGCAGTGGAGATGCGATCTCTTCGTAAAATGTGCGGCGTTACTATGGCCGACCGAAAGCGAAACGAAGAGATTCGCAATATGGCAGGTTTGAAAGATGACCTTATCACAAAAATTGATAAGGGCGTGCTTCGGTGGTTTGGGCACGTTGAGCGAATGAGTGAAGACCGAATGGTGAAGAAAATATATAGCGCGAAAGTTAATATTAAAAGGTGTCGAGGTAGACCGAGACTAACTTTCGAAGACCATGTGAGCAAATTGCTCGAAGAGGGTAGGGTCAAGAGTACTCGGATACCTAGACGTGCATGCATGAAGAAGATAATGAATCTGAAAGAAGCGAAAGAGATATGTAAGGATCGTGACACTTGGCGATCTGTTCTCTCTGGCTACCCCGTCAGGGATTGTGCGTGAAGTTTAAAATTTGGTTAATTTTTGGAAAATAACCCTGTATAAGTGAACAATATTTTTTATTAGGTTGAATTGAAATTGCCGTTTTATAATACGGATTAGTTTGGAGTTCTTTTTTTATAGGATAAGGGTGACAAACGAGCACACAGTCCACCTGATGGTGGGTGGTTGCTCTATCATCTATTACAAATCAAAATGCAGATGCGTTATTGCTATTGGACACAGCTGCCCAATAGACATCTACATTTATTCTCAATTAAAAATCAAAATGCGGATGCGTGTTCACCCCTGAGGACTGAGATAGAATAATATTATAGAGATAGAAGAATACCTGGTTTCCAGTAAAAAGGGTCTCCGGTTCTCTACACTCACCATACGAAACACAGCATTATTAATATGGTATTCTTAGAGAGCGTGTTCCTACCCTTGTCGAGCCGACCTATTCGAGCTACAACCATAACACAGCTGCATCGTGGTTTTACCACGTATAAAAGATCAAGTGCACTGTGAGTCAAAATTCGTTGTGATAGTTCGTGGCTTCGTTTGAATTTTTATTACTATAATGTGGTCCTATGGGGATGCTTGGCCATTAAAATGATTCGATTAACTGAAAGCTATTCTCGGTGTTCCGAGCTAAAAAATATATTAAATTTATTTGTTTAAATAAGGTTCTAAAATAAATATAGAGATACATATCACTATATTCATTTTAGAATATTATTTACCGTTACAGCCTATTAAAGTCCATTGCTGAACACAGGCCTCCATAGATTGCCTCATAGTTAGGATATTGGCAAGCGGGTTGGCAGCCGAAGTTTTTTAGTTTCGGTCGTTATTAGGAAGACGCTGCTGCCCATCTCCTGATATGTTTCCCTCTGTCAACTATTACCCACGGGATGTTATGAGTAGTGGATATTTTTACATCGCCACTACGCGGTTTAATAATATATTCACGGAATATTATTTAAACCTTTTTTTATAAGAGCCTTGGTAAATCTGGAGATAGGCGTTAAGCGATCGCCTTAAAGTTTCATACTACCTGAGTGAACTGTGTTTGATTCCCCCAGCACCAATGACATTGCTGAAATTTTAAGTGGTGATTTACCACGTGTTACGTGCTAGACAGTGTAGAAAAAACATCGTGAGGAAATCTGCATGTCTGAGAAGGTAGAAAATATTTCGAGGATATAGGAAATCTGCCAACACACACGACAGTATTTTCCTCGTAAAAGTCTCATCTAGGTTCTCACGAGTACACGCAAACAAACGGGCTTTGGAAGAAAATAATCGTGTAAATATTAAAAGTAGCAAATTTAGCTTAAACTAAAATTTATATTTATTAGAACGATGAGTAGAAATGTATTAATGGAATTTTAGAAAGCCACAAGCTGGGAAATGAATCGAAAAATTTGAAATCCCCATATTTTATGGCACCTATTAATAGGGCCGATAGTACGGATGGAATATCGCTAGTAAACAATATGTCGTAAATTATAAAAAAGGAATAGAAGACTACGAAATACAATACTACTTTGCCTAAATAAAGAAGGGTAAAAAGTTAATGACGTAACTCGGATAATTTTTCTTCAAACATTTCCTTGTATCTTGAAAAATTTTCTTCTACCTTAATTTGCCTTTCCAAGCGTACCTTTAAAAATATCAATATTTTTAAAAGTATGGTTGGAAATGCAACATTTTTAAAGGTACGGTTGGAAAGGCAATTTCGGAACATTGTTGCGGAAAATATCAAAATAAAATTACAACATAAAGAAATGATTTATATATGTTTAAAATCTATAAGCCTGTCTGCAATTGATCCCACCTGATGGTAAGTGGAAATGCAGCTGAATATGGCAAAGGACACTGACACTCGTAGCTCAACAAAAGCCTATACATTCTTTCCTTGAAGACATCCACATTGTAATGGGATATATATGGGTCTTTATAACAAAATTGGTTTAATGTTAATGAAACTTGAGCCTGTCTTGAAATTAACTTTATTTAAATTAACATAAAACACAAAATGAATAAAGGCTCGGTGCCGTAACATCTTGTGAACGTCGGCGCTCTGAACAAGTGTGCGTTGTTTTATTCATAGGCCTGTTTGAATAAAGATGGAAATATTAAATCAGGTCAGAGAAAAAAAACAGCCGGGGGCTAATATGAGTTGGGGGTTAATAGTCATACATATTAATAGGAAGAAGCTGCATTATTCTCATTCGTTTTTTATAGGATAAGGGTGACAAGCGAGCATACAGTCGACCTGATGGTAAGTGGTTGCTGTGGACAGTTTACATCTACACCTATCCCCAATTACGAATCAAAATGCAGATACGTTGTCACCCGTGAATACCTACTAAGATGGAATGCCTCGTTTCCAGTAAAACGGGTCTCCGGTTTTCTATACTCACCATACGAAACACAGCAGCATTAAGCTGCTATTTTACGCTGGTATTCTGTGACAGCATGGTTCTTCCACGGTCGAGGCGACCCTTTCGTGCTACAACCTATACTATAATATTGCTACAGCATGATTCTACCACGTTATAAAGTGACTATTTTTTTAGTATCAAAGTATTTTCCAATATTAATATAGTGCTTATTATAAATCTTGTACAGGGGACTTTAAAAGCGATGAACAGGTAGGTATAAGAAGGTGCTTCCTTAATAAATAGAAAGACATCCATGTAGATTTTTTACATCTATCCAATTAAAAAATGCTGTTTTAAATTTGAGTATAAAATATGTGATTCTGTAGCCGTGACACGTAACGTATCCCGGGAACCGTAATTAAAATGGACGAAGAAGTGAAGACCTGAATAGCGTTGACATAGCTTTTTTTAAATAGGTTTTCTGTAGTGTTTTAAATGAATGTGAACGTTTGTAAATTTGACGTAGGGGATCTCTTGTTGCAGCAAAAATCTGAACACCGAATTGTCATTTTTGTAGGACGTCTATTCAGCAACGAGACTAGATTTAGTCTAGTGAGCAGTGTGGGTGCAACTAGTTTTAATGTACGCGTGCAGAGTGGGAACGACTGCGTGTGGCTTTTCTACTCGGGTTCGCCGGTGTTCTTCTTATGGTACAGGATTATGGAGAAAATATGCATTTCTTATTTGTTCCGTTTCTTTCTTCTCTGCTTCGTAACAGTCCATTGCTGAACATGGGACCCTCCATAGTACGGAGAGTTTGAAAAAATAATTTATTTATGTATTTTTATTTATTTATTCCTTATTCAATCTTACACAATGTATAAGAACAAAAGCTGGACTTAATTCAAAAAGCGTTCTCTGTCAATCAACCTAAACATATACTGTATATATACCAAGTATATTGTATGTGTGATATGTGGCCAATAAACAAGAATAAAATATCATTAAGGGGTGTAGCCAAAATCTTCTTCTGAGGTAGGACCAATGGAGTACAGACCCTGTGCTGTCATGTGCCCTACGCATGTCCTATGCATTGCTAGATAGCGTTCAAGATTTTCCTTGAGTGAAGATACCAAGTATTACTGTAGGAAGAGTGAAGTGGGGAGGGTTAGGATTACTGATGATTTTCAAATGTGTGTCGTACCACACACTAAGAAACCAAAACGTTCCGTTTCTTTATTGTTTATAAAATTTAAATATTAACTTTCTTTCTTTATTTACTCACGTCACTAATATTTTATATAATATAGGGTACCGTAACTATATCCACAAGTAAGAAGCACTTACACGTTTTTATATTTAAGTGGCCAACTAAATGTATAAGTGCAGTTCGAT